GTTTTGTGGGCTGGTGGTTTTAGCCTCACCCCCCCCATTAGCCAGGGAGCGCCCCGTCCGTGCACAGAGCCCAGGGTGGAATTGCAGTTGGGATGAAGGGGCGCAGGGCGGGGGGCACGGGGCAGGGGGGCGCTGCGGTACAGGGGCGCACCGGCAGTCCCGCTAGGGCATGAGCACATCTCGGTGTCCCCCGAACCCAGCAAGGTCTGTGTGTGCTCGTGTCCCCTTCCTCTCCACGCAGAAACAGCACCAAGGAGGTTGCGTGGCCCCGGCCAGTCGCCCAGGAAATCTCCCTGTCCCCTGTGTGCCGCGGAGTCACTCTCGCAGGCCGTCCGCAGACTGGTGGCAATCCACGTCGCCCTTCGGCTCCGGGCTGCCCAACAGCTTCACGCCAGTCTTCCGGTCCACGCACCAGCACTTCCCACGCTGCCCGTCCAGGGCCGGGTGACACTGGATGGGGCAGGAGGCTCTGGCTGGGCCCCGCCGTCCCCGCTGGCTTTGGACTGGCAGAGGGGCACGACCGGGCCTGCCCAGGCAGGTCCAACATACCTCCCACCAGGTGAGTGCCCTGAGTGGTCCCCTGCCCAGCCTTTGCCACTCCCTGCCCAGGATCCTAGCGCCCCCTCCATAGCGAGGGCTCTATGTTAGACTCCAGAGCTTCCTGTCACCTCCGTGATTTCTGCAGCAGCCAGGAACTGCCTGAGCAGTGGTCCAGAAAGAGCCACTGCTTGGTGGCCCCTGGCAGTTGATGCCTCTGGCCCTGAGAACAGCCCCCGCTACGCCCTGGCCAGTGGCTCCCCAGCTCAGATTTAATCGGGGGTATTCGTACTCGTGGCCAGGTCATGGGCAATAAACAAAAGTTCACGCCCTGTGATCCGTCCCTCAGCTGTACTGGAAACCCCCCGACTAACCCCACCCTCACCTGTGATTCATTCGTAGCCAGGCAACGCCTCCTGCGAGTGCGGAGAGCAAGCGCCAGGGTCCCCTTTGCAATGAGAAGACAGGGCAGCCCAGGCTGCGTTTCCAGCAGTCAGCCCCACTAAGTTTGGGTGCCTGACTTGAGGCCGCTGGGGCCAGGCGTTCAGAGGGGCTGAGATCTATACGCTGGGGGTGCTGAACACACAAGTGAGGGGCTGTAGCCCAGCCCTCCAATACCCGGTTGGGCTAGAACCCGTGTGTCCAAATTCCCATGCCGCAGGCTCAGCCACTGGCTTAGCTGTACCACGGGCATGGCCCCTCTCCGGGCCGTGTCGCCGACCGCCAGGCTGGGGCGCCCGCTGGCCATGGGCCACCGGCTGTACCTGTTTGGGGTGGAAGTTCCCGTTGCGATCGCAGTTCGGGATGGGGATGATGTACAAGTCCTCGTGGGTGCGGGTCTGGGATGCGGCCAGTCTCTCCAGGGCTCTGTGCAGCTCACTCTGGCACGACCCCTGGGCCTGCACAGACAGCAGAGGTCGGAGCATCTCGGGGGGGCGGGGAGGATAAAGTCCCCTCCCCCCGCATTGCACAGAGGCCGCCCTCTCCCATCCGTTGTCAGATTCCCACCAATCAGACCCTGATACACCAACCCGATTCCCCGGGGGCTGCAACCCCCGACCACCACCCTAACCCTCCCCTTCGTCGGTGAGTGGCATGGAGCTACCACGCTGCTCAGTGTGCCTGGCAAAGCAAAGCCACCCCGAGCCGACCGCTGGCACCACCCTCCCACCTGCTGGTCTGAGACCCAGACATGCCCATTACACCCCAGTCACTTGCTTAACAGCACCCCCTGCTGGGCACTGAGAGGCACCAGCTCGGGAGGAGGGGTAGGGAGGGGAGCACAGGCCCCTGCAGCAGCAGTCTCACTATCGGCCGCGTCTCCTCCCGATGCTGCGGGTTCCCGTTGCTCCTCATCTTCACGCCGCTGTTCACCCGGTCGCGGGTTTTCGCCTGATGCTTCAGGAGACATTTCCGGTCCTGGATGCTGCATGGGCTGAAACTGTTGTTGGGGTGGTCGACCTCCTCCTTGTCTGCAAAGAGAGGAGGGAGGGCAGAGGAGAGTCGGGCAGGCCGGTGCCGGAGCCTCACGGAGCCAAACCCTGCACCCTGGCCGCCTCCCCTCCCCCTCTGCCGCCCGGAGGTGCCGGGTCGAGGGCGACGAGGCCGCAGGGGGTTGCTACAGGACTGAGTCAGCGTGTGGCTCCCTCGTGCCCTTTCAAATGCTTTGCACCCGGGCGAAGGAGCCCCAGGCCCTGGGCTAGTCGGGCAGGCCGGTGCCGGAGCCTCACGGAGCCAAACCCTGCACCCTGGCCGCCTCCCCTCCCCCTCTGCCGCCCGGAGGTGCCGGGTCGAGGGCGACGAGGCCGCAGGGGGTTGCTACAGGACTGAGTCAGCGTGTGGCTCCCTCGTGCCCTTTCAAATGCTTTGCACCCGGGCGAAGGAGCCCCAGGCCCTGGGCTAGCCCTGCTCGGCTCGGTCTGCAGCTGCCCGTGGAGGGTTAGTTGTTTCCCATGTGAAACGAAGCCTCAGGCCGGCTCCTAGCAGAACCGAAACCTCTGCTCCAGGCCCCCTCGCATGTACCTCTTGGTCCCACATCAAGCTCTCACTCGACGAACGCTCCCCCTTGGAAGCCCCACCCCATGGTTGGCGAGTCCCCTTTGCCCCTCCCAGCCCTGGGGGAAGGCCCGGCTGGCTAATCCAAGCCCTGGTAGCGCGCTTGAGAGGGGAGAGAGAAGTCGGCGGCGTGCTCTGCTCTCCCAGGGTATGTCTACACTACAGCGCTAATTCGAACGAACTTAGAGTTTACGGTCTAAACAGACACGAGGCAAGAGAAAGATAGGCTCCTACTCCCCGTTGGGCAGATGGGGAAACTGAGGCACGAAGGGAGCCGCCCAAGGTTGAACAGTGAAACAGCAGCACTGCTGGGACTAGGACTGAGGTCCCTTGAGGTGCAGTGCAGGGCCACAGTGCTCACTGGCATGTCACTAGGGTGTCTGTCCCCCCCAACACCATAGTACCCAGACATCTTTCTGGCTCCCGGGTGGCAGCTCCCGGGCCATGGCCCTGTTGTCCCTGCAACAGCTGACAAAGCACGAGGATGCCCCAGGGAGCCTGGACAGAGCTAGGAACTGGCCAACAGGGCTAGCGCCCCAGGCACCGGGCCGTTCTTCCTCTCTGAGGCATCTTCCTCTTCCTTCTCCCAGCCGTTGGCTCTGGGGGGAAATTCTCCGGGACGGCAGCAGCCACAGAGGGACACAGGAAATGTCGCCTTCCTTCCCGCCCAGCTTTTGTTGCGGGGCCAGTGGGGAGCTTGGCACCAGCAACTCTGTTTCCATGAGACTCTTCCAAGTGCCACTTAGCACCGCGGGCTTTTCCCAAACCACCCGCCATGGTGCCCAGC